AATACCAGAAAGATGTTTACCTGTGCTCTATTGACTTCCGATTGTGTAAATCATGACAAGCTATGGACAACATTGCAAAGTATGAGTATTCCGGAGCACTTGATTATGTCCACAAGGAACCTGTGCATAGACTAAGAGGCAATTATCCACACAGAACAAGGGACTGCTGAGTGGTTGAAAATTAGGAAAGGTGTGCAACAGGGTTGTATTTTTCCACCATAACTTATTCAATCTGTATGCTGAGCAAATCTTCCAAGAAGCTGGATCGTATGAAGAAAAACGTGGCATTAGGATTGGAGGAAGACTCATTAACAACCTGCGATATGCAGATGACACAACCTTGCTTGATCAAAGCAACGAGGACTAAAATATTTGCTGATGAAGATTAAAGACCACGCCTTCAATATAATTTGCACCTCAATGTAAAAAAAACAAAAATCCTCACAACTGGACTAATAGACAACATCAAGATAAATGGAGAAAAGATTGAAAGTTGTCAAAGAGTTCATTCTTCTCGGATCAACCATCAATACTGATTGAAGCAACGGTCAAGAAATAAAAGGACATAGTGCATCAGGCAAATCTGCTGCACAAGGCCTCTTTAAAGTGTTGAAGAGCAAAGATGTCAGCCTGAAGATTAAGGTGCGCCTGACCCAAGCCATGGTATTTTCAGTAACCTCATATGTATGCAAAACTTGGACAGTGAATAAGAAAGACTGTAGAAGAATTGATGCATTTGAGTTATGGTGTTGGAGGAAAATATTGAAAGTGCCATGGGCTGCCAAAAGAACCAACAGATCTTTGTTAGAAGAAGTGCAGCCAGAGTGCTCCTTGGAGGCCAGGTGGCCAGATTTCATCTCTCATACTTCAGACACGTTGTCAGGAGGGACCAGTCACTGGAGAAGGATATCATGTTTGGTAAGGTGGAGAGTTGAAGAAAAAGAGGAAGACCCCCAACGAGATGGATTGGCTCAGATGTAGCAATGATGGTGATACTGACCCAGGACTGGGCACTGTTCGTTCTGTTGTACATAGGGTCACTATGAGTCAGTGCCGACTCGATGGCACCTAACAACAACAAAAACAACGTGGGGAGGGATCTGACAGCCATTCTGCACAACGTTAAAGCATTTAACTGCTGCTATAAAAGAAGGGGCTTTTCCTGAAAAGAAGGGCGTCAAATACCCTGAAGAGGCTTTTATCACGAGCAAGTCTGC